GTGTCTTATCTAGTTCCATTCCTGATATTTCTTTTAATTTTGATTCTCATTGTGATGTCTGTCCAGTAGCCAAACAAACAAGGTTACCTTTTCCCTTAAGTTCTACTTCTAGTCTACAACCTTTCGAGTTAATACATTGTGATATTTGGGGTCCGCATCGTTTGCCATCTTCATCAGGTGCTAAATACTTCTTAACCATAGTTGACGATTACTCCCGATTTACTTGGCTCTTTCTCATGAATTTAAAATCTGAAACACAAGAGAAAATCAAACTGTTTTTTGCTTATGTCAACACTCAATTTCAGCGTCAAGTTAAACAAGTACGCACTAATAATGGCGCAGAATTCATATCCATGCGTTCATTTTTTGCCAACTCAGGCACTGTTTTTCAACATACTTGCCCACACACACCTCAACAAAATGGGGTGGTGGAGCGTAAACATCGACACCTCCTTAATGTAGGTCGCGCACTTCGTTTTCAAGCAAACCTTCCCCTCAAATTTTGGGGAGAAAGTCTTCTCACTGCCACTTATCTTATCAATCGCACACCCACCATCGTTTTATCAAAAAAAACACCTTATGAAATGCTCTACACACGCCCCCCCCCCCCCCACTTATATGCACTTACGGGTTTTTGGGTGCCTTTGCTATGCTACACACACCTCCCCTAAACACAAGTTTGATGCTAGGGCTCACAAGTGTCTCTTTGTTGGTTACCCTTCTGGACAAAAGGGGTATCGTCTCTACAATCTTCACACTCATCAATTTTTTACTAGTCGTGATGTGGTTTTTCATGAACACATCTTCCCTTTTGCTCATCATCCTCCCGACACCCAACCTGATGAAGTTGTGCCCATCATTCCTCTTCCCCTCACCAATACCATATCAGATTCTTCCACCTTTCCACAAGAACCCTCATCTCCCATCATCTCTAGTCCGCACACTTCTCCTCCTTCACCTTCCGTAACTGTCGTCCCTTTCTCACCATCACCTGTGTCGCCCCCATCTTCTCTTCCTTCTCCCGGTCCTGTCAGCTCTACCCCACCACCTGCCCTTGGTCGTGGCCTCCGCCCCTAGCAACCTTCTGTCTTATTAAAGGATTATGACTGTTCACAGGTCACCACAGCGCCTTCCACGTCCACTTCTTCTTCGCGGTCAGGTACTCGCTATCCCCTCTCTCATTATCTCTCTCCTTCGCATTTATCACCATCTCATCAAGTGTTTATCAATAATATCACTCGTAACATCGAACCTACTTCTTTTGCTCAGGCCAACCTTGATCCTAATTGGCAAGCTGCCATGCAGTCTGAACTTGCTGCACTTGAACAGAACCATACCTGGACACTCACTTCCCTGCCTCCTGGAAAACGTGCTATCGGCAGCAAGTGGGTTTACAAGATCAAACATCGCTCTGATGGCTCCATCGAGCGCTATAAAGCGCGTTTGGTTGCTAAAGGTTACACACAAATTGAAGGCCTGGACTATTCTGAAACATTTGCACCCGTGGCCAAACTTACCACTGTTCGTTGTTTATTGGCCGTGGCTGCTCAACGCCACTGGCCTCTCCATCAGCTCGATGTCCAGAATGCTTTTCTCCATGGTGATTTGGACGAAGAAGTTTTCATGTCTCCACCTCCTGGACTTCGTCGACAGGGGGAGAACTTGGTTTGTCGACTCCATAAATCCCTCTATGGCTTGAAGCAGGCTTCCCGTCAATGGTTTTCAAAGTTTTCTCAAGCTATTCAACTCGTGGGATTCAAACAATCAACTGCAGACTATTCATTGTTCACCTGCACTACTGCGCATTCCATTACAGTGGTTCTTATCTATGTTGATGACATGATCATTACAGGGAACAACCATGAGGCCATTCAACGTTTAAAACAATTTCTTCATCATCAGTTTCGTATTAAGGACCTCGGACCTCTCAAATATTTTCTTGGGATTGAAGTGGCTCGTTCACAGCAAGGCATTTTTATCTCACAAAGGAAATATGTTTTGGACATACTGGACGATGTTGGACTATTAGGGGCATGTCCAGTGGATTTTCCCATGGAACAAGACTTGAAGTTAAGGCCAACGGATGGTGAATTATTAAAGGATCCAACCAGATATAGAAGGATCATGGGACGACTCATTTACCTCACCATAACGAGGCCAAATATCACATTTTCTGTCCAAAATCTTAGCCAGTTCATGAACCAACCACGCAAGCCTCATCTTGAAGCTGCTATGCGAGTCTTGAAATACCTCAAAGGGACTCCAGGACAAGGTCTATTTTTTCCATCTACAGATGCTTTACAATTGAGTGGTTACTGTGATGCTTCATGGGCATCATGTCTAACGACTAGAAGGTCTGTGACAGGTTATTGTGTGTTTTTGGGGAAATCACTTATCTCCTGGAAGACTAAAAAACAACATACGGTTTCACGATCGTCTGCAGAGGCAGAATATAGATCAATGGCTGCAATCACTTGTGAATTTACGTGACTTTGTTATCTGTTACAAGATTTACAGGTCTCCCATGCAGCTCCAGCTCATGTTTACTGTGACAATAAGGCAGCGCTACACATTGCAGCTAATCCAGTTTTCCACGAGCGAACTAAACATATCGAATTAGATTGTCACTTGGTCCGAGAAAAGTTACATTCAGGAATGATTGCAACAAGGTTCACACCTTCAAAACATCAGTTGGTCGACATATTTACAAAAGCACTAGGAAAGGCATCGTTTCATTCTCTTCTCAGCAAGTTGGGCATTCAAAACATTCATGCTCCAACTTGAGGGGGAGTGTTGAAATCCTTGTATTAATTGTTCATCCACTCCATGATTTGATGGTCCACATGCAGTGCAGATTCTGAGTGGGCAAGCATGGGTATATGTACCTGCCATCATTACAACTATAGTCATCATTGCCATAAAGGGAGGACATTAACTTCTGGAAAGGAAGGTTGCATGTGGTTGCTGTGCTGTTGCACCTGGACAGCAGGGAGAACATTTTAATATTGCTGCATGTGTGCTGTTGCTGCATGTGGCATCGGTGTAAAGCTTTCTCCTCATGTAGTATAGGTGTAAAGTTTTGATCTTATTATGTATAAGTATGCCTTCCCATAAGGCTTTCAAAGTATTGTAAAATGTATGATAGTTCAAATCAGTTGGAAATCGATTCTTTCTACATACATACACTTCGCCATTTTTACAAATCCCATTTTTGTTCCGCTGATTTTCTTGATTCATTCACTTCAACCCTTTATTCCCCTTTTCTCTGTTGTAAATTGCAGTCCAAGTCCTTCTCTTTTCACAATAATCAAATTTACCCAGTTGGGATTTACCCCTAATTCTTTTATGGGTAGCAAATTCTTGGGTTCTTGAAATGAAAGGAATAGTGGGTTGATGAGCTTTGTCCTTATTAATTTCTGGGTGATCAGTTTTTGATGTAAAGGAAAGATGGGCTTTTTCTCTGACCCAGACCTTTCTGGGTTTTGAGAGGAATAATCAGATGAGGGATTTTCCTGGACGCCTGGGACTTTGACTAGCCTTCTTCTCAGGATTTCCCAATGCGTCTTTTCTGCCGGGTCCATTGCTTCTTAATGAAAAAATATAAATGTATTAAAAAAAAAAATATATATATATATATATATATATATTTGTATATATACCCACTCATTTGTTGTATTATGTGCTACCGGTCCTCTCCTTAATTACCATTAAATTCAATCCAAAAATCCAATCTTCAATCCAACCAATTTCTCACATTGACGATGAGGTCCTATCTCTCCCAACCCTCATTTCCTTTGTCCTGTTTCTTTGTTGAACGGCGATGGCTGAAGAATTTATCATGAATTTATGATCGAACACCTCAAAACCCACCACCCCATTGCCCAAAATTCGCAAAGCTCGCACCTTTGTTGTGGGTTGTGATCGATTTGATCCGCCATTGAAAAAGTTCAAATAACATTGAAGTAAAGAAGGGGAAAGAAGAATTGGGTTTCTATGCCAGGGGCAAAGCCGGCCGTGAACCCCAGAAATCTATCCCCATCGCAAAACGCTAATAGAAGTATGAAAGTGGCACAAAAATTAAACTTTTAGTAAGAAAAGTGGAACAAAAAAATTTTAGATATAAAAGTTAGATTTTAACGTAATAAAGTGAGAATTTCTTAAAATTAAAAAAAATTAGATAAATAGGCAGCATGTGCAACGGTAAAATTAAAAAAAAAAAAAAAAACAGAAAATATAAGAGGGTAGGCAGAATGTGCGCTGGGGCCCAGCCTGCCACTGTATCGAGCGTCCTCACAGCTGCTCTGCAACATTCACATGGTGGGGGTTAATTTTTTTCATTAAAAACTATGACAATATATATTGCATATAGTATGGTATTTGATCTAGAATATTTTAGGTAAATATATTATAAACATATATTACAAATAATATTTCTTAATGGATTGTAACCGTTCGGAGTACGCACGTGAAATCCGGATCCAAATCCTGTCTCGGAGGCTCTGGAGAGGACTTGCTTCCGTGAACTGCAACTATTGGTTCCTGTTTTTGAAATGAGTAAAGGTAGGAATATCATTTTGTTGGTATTATATTTGTAAATTATATGATTTTTCATTAATAAAAAAATAAGTACGTTAATTAACTTTTAAGTAATTATACAATTATTAATAACATTAAATAATTTATAAAATGAAATTTAAATAAATAGTCTCTTTAGACATCTCTTTTAACGATAGAAAAATTTTTAGTTGTAATAGAAACACAGGTGGTACATCACGTGTTTTTATATAAGTGATGAGAAATTTTATTTTTATGTTATTAACATTTTAACACATATATCTTATCATTTATATAATGATATATGATGTACCACTCTTGTGATGGCCACACTGAAAAATCCTCTGACATGCTCTCAGCTTTCTGACGTAGAATATCCCATTGGTCTTTTGGTTGGGACATTTTCTTTATTTAAGGAATCTTTCTTTAGTGGAAAACTCACTTCTACTCTCATTCTCTCCATCGCCCTCCCGTTCCTCTCTCTCACTCCCGCTCTCTTTTCTCTCTGCAACGCAGAGACAAACCCGCATCCGACCAATTGAGCCTCCAAAACCACGACCATCGCAAACTACTCCTCAAACCCTTACCCAACACAGCCGTGTCTTCCGTGTTCCCAAACTCGGACCCAAAAACCGAGAACCACGAACTCAGTCGCACTCGAACTTTTCGACGAGTTTTTCGTCGTTTTCCCGGCTAAGGTAATCTTTTAAGTTTTAATCGTTGCATCTCTTTGATTAGTTTAAATTTCGTGTTTGAAAATGGCGCGTTTTAACACAGATCAAAAGAGGAGAAGTCTATTGCAGAACTCCGGCGAGTTGAAGAGAGAACCCGCTGATTTTCCAACCAAACCTCGTCGATTTGGATTATTTTGAAGCCACCATTCGAGCCACCAGCATCCCTAGGCTGAGTTTCGAGCAAGCCGCGGGTTCGAAACTTGGAAATTCGAGCCGAGCCAAACCAAGGTGATATTCGGATTCTACACGCTAAAGTTAGTCTAGGTTGTGAATTTCGTAAATTTTGGATGTGTTTTTGTGACTCACCAGTGTTCTGGAAATTTTCCGGCCAAGATTTTAACAAGCTAGGTAGCTCCTAAATTGCGTTAGCAGGGGATATAGTATCATTTGAACTTGAGTTATGGCGCACTCCACTATAACCATAAGGTTCGTTTGTTTCTGTAACTTTTAGATCATTTCTTGTTTTCTTTCTTTTTCTTTAATTATGAGAAATGACATAATTATTATTCTAAGTTGAAGAAGGTCAGATAGATGGTCACTTCCATCCGATTCTAATCAGATTAAGGAGAACGTTGATATAGAAGATTGAATTGGAATGGATATGATAATAATTTTTCATTTGAGAGGATTAGAAGAAAATTAGACATGAATAAAACCTCTCTCTCCTAATCCTCTTATTTTGAGAAGGATTGGAATGGATAACTTTTGTTCTTGAGTATTTCGTCTTCTAACTCCAATTTGGTCACAATTTTTCCATCTCTTCTTTCAACACACTTTAAAACAATTACTTATCCTTTCCATTCCAACCCTATATACCAAACCAAAGCTGGCTAATCCTACTCTAATAGAGCTTATATTAACTAAAAGAACTTTAAACAACAAAGAAATCCAAAGTAAGGAAGTAATGATTCATAGCCCGACTTTGGCTTCATAGGTTCCTATGGCTCGTCCTATAGGGGATATATTCTAATTATAGGGACATGGAAGTAAAGGTGCGATAAATAAGTTTTTTCTGAGCGTATATATCGATATGGTATGGTCCTTAATGCGAATTGGTAAGGCAGACATCTCAATACAACCCATACGATTCATTCATTAAAAAATTTACGGGTACCTTTAGGTGCTTCTATTGCGTATATTGTATTCCCGTAGCGGATCAATTCCAACAAGCCTATCAAACTAGTACTTATCGACTCTATAGATCTCATGATCCTACTTTGAATTGGAAAACAACTCGGCCAATTGTAAGCACGTTTTGCAGGCGCATATCGCATGCGAGTAGGAAACATTGAGAAATCTTCGTCATCGCATTGTAACTCAATTCTGATAGGATTTCACCTTAAGTGGGTTTGTTCTTCAAATCGAAATTCAACGATTCAAAACCGTCTATTTATTATGTCTTCATTTATAGAAATTTCTTGCGAAAAATAAATTCAGTCCATAACTATTTGCTTATTTAATTATCACGATGAAATTTGAATGTTTCTTAAAACATAATATTCGTCAATTTCTTTGAACTCAATTAGACATCTCGAGCTTTTTCTATTTGGCTGATATTTTGCAAAGATGATCTATTAGGTAGAACCTGAAAAATTGATGGTTTAGATTGTTGAAGTTCGATGTGGTGTGGGCCCCACAATTAATACCTATTATTTTTATAAATAAAAAAAATCCCTTTTCTAAATGGCCTTGCTCATATATATACACACACAAGCCCTTTATCCAAAGAGATACTCATTTTTTTTTTTTTTTGAAAAAATAGGGACTACTTGTGGAGTCCACTCCACATCGAATTTCAACGATTCGAACTATCTGTTTTTCAAGTTGCACTATATAGATCATCCTTACAAAATATTAGCTAAATCAGAAATATTTGGAGCATCTAATTGAGTCCAAGAAATTGACGAACACTATGTTCTAAGAAACACTGAAGTTTCATCATAACAATCAAATGAGTAAATGGTTTTGAATTGAATTGATTTTTCGTAAGGATGATCTATGAATGAAGACTTAAAAAATAGACTGTTCGGATCTTTGAAGTTCGATGTATAATGAGCCCCACAACTAGTCCCTGTTTTTTTTTTTTTTTTTTTTTTTTTTTGTAAAAATAAGGATCCCTTTGGATACTATTTTTTGTCCAAGTGAGAGTCGCGACCTAGACGAGTGGCTAGGCAGGTCTAAGCAAGCTAGTCGGGGCCCTAGGCAGGTCTAGGTGCCCTTTCTTAATTGTTTAATGCCTAGAAATTAATTGAGGCAGTGGTCAGCTGCCTAGCACCTGTGATGCTAGGCGGTGATATTTAGAACATTGTATATATATAATTTTTATTTTTTTTTAATGGGGGGAAAATGTTGAATAATATGTTTATTGTCTTGTACAGTGATCTAGGTCATAGGAATACTTCAGAGGGGGAAGCTTCTAAGGAAGATGAAGGACACAGAAGTAGAACTACTGCAGAATGGCCAACAATTGAGCCACAACGTCATCAACCAAAAATATTCTTTCCAACCTGGAATGTTATCTTTATAGTATCATCTGCATTTTCTCTCTTCGTTGATCCCTTGATCTGCTATATTCCGGTCATCGTCGAGAAAGAGACTTGCTATTTTTGGAACCTAAAGTTGGCGTGGATATATATCGCTTTACGATCATTCGGGGATCTCTTTTATTATATGGACATGGTTGTTTTTTTTAAGAGATTTCGCACCGAACTTAGTGCCAAGTCTTTTGCAGGGGCCTCCCCCACAAAAACTATTGATGATCATCATTTGTCAACGCTTCGTAATTTCATCCACAAGAAACCAGTTGGGTTCTTAGCCATTCTACTTCGCATTTGGGTTGCTTTTCCCCTTCTACTGGTAGGCCTTATGGGAAGGTGATTTATTGCAAGTAATTAAATTTCACATTTAACTGCATGCATGCATCATAACTAGATTTTATTTGACATGTGTGTGTGTGTGTGTGTGTGTGTGTATTGTGATTACACATGATGTAGCGGGATATGTCAAGGGAAATCGAACAAAATCCCCACGCTAGAATTCACTAGCAAATAAGATGAAGTCCATCAGCAATCCGAAATCTTCCAGAAAATAAAGAAAACTCTAAAGTTGAATTGATTACAAATCTAAGGCTAAGATGACCTATTTATAATGTGACACAACGGAAGTCATAAATAAAAGGGATCACGAATGGTCACCCTTAAAAAGGTTTATGGAACACTTGAGAATTGAGAAAAACTCTAGAATTTTGATTAATAATATGATAAGATGTTGAAAATACAACCCCCGAAGTTGTTTATATAGTCTTTGCAAAAGGAAATAAAACTAGAAAATTACAAAAGTTTTGAAAACACCCTTAAAAGCCGTTTTTAACACTTCAAACGCTATTAAAACGCCAAAATCTATCTTATACCACAACAAAGCGGCGAGTTATAGTCGTCATGTTGTTCTCTATCAGACACTGAAAATCCAAAAAATACAATTCACCGCAGCTACCTCGAACTTCTTGTTCGAATAAGCTTTTCCAACCCCTCGTCATAATGTTCTTAATCCTGGAAACCCTAAGAATCTAAGTAGAAATTCCAACCCCTCGTCATAATGTTCTTAACCCTAGAAACCCTAAGAATCTAAGTAGAAAAGGAAAAAAAACACAAAGAAATATCAAAATTGTACTTAAATAATAATATCTGAATTAAACATGGTAAATGACATAATTCGCCTAAATTTTGGGCTAAAAAGTTGACATGCCAAACAAATTGCGTTAATCCAAACAACTTAAAAAATCCAAAACATCTATTTTCGGGATATGACATCAACAAATAGAATAACCAATTCTCCAATCATTTTTCTTCATTAAACATCGCTTCCTCCATTAAATTTATTGCATGTAGAATATCATAATTCTTGTCCTACGTCAACACGCTAATTATCCCATTATAAACCATGATGCTATATATATTTTTACGTACATTCCTATAAAATTTGTCATTTTGCTACTTACTCATGGTAGTTAGGTAGGGTTTGCCCTGTGGGCCAGGACGAAGCTCAACCTCCTCGTACAATTAATTATTTTGATACATGCTTAAAATTTGACGCACATTTGATAGATTATTATGTAAATTAATGATTTAATAACATTGGTTAGCCGATAACCCAATTTAACTGTTGGTTGACATGTCTCCAGGCAATATTGATCATTGGAATTTATACATACTTGGATTATTTTGCGCTTATTTACCTACTTCCATTCCAATATACAATGAGGGCTTATAACTACTACGAATGGCTTTATCGGCTTGCTAACGTAGAGACTGGAACAAGAAAAGTGCTTAAAGCTATGTTAGACTTACTTCCGTTCATCATTGCTTCTCATGTAAGTTCAAATCTTATTTCCGATATTTGGGGAGAAAAATCTAAATTTTGTTGTAACCTCATCGTTGAGGTATATGAGTGTATATATGATAAACTTTTTAAAACTACTATGGTCCATCAATAACATATTTACTAATATTGTTCTCAATGTAACAACATATCACTAGGTGTGGGGTTTTTCCACTAGAGAGATTATATCCACACACACTCCAAATTACTTCCCAAACACTCTTTTAATTTTTTAATATTTTTTGCACACCACTAACACTTGATATAAAAGTATTAAAAAATTAAAAGGGTGTGAGGGAAGTAATTGGAGTATGTGAATATAATCTCCCTTTCCACTAAAGGCGTCTGTGCTATTAGCATTGAACCTATAAACTGTAAATTATCTTGTTAAGTCTTTGATGTGAGACTCTATTTTCCAACAATGGGTATAATCATGCTCAATCATTAACCGGTTAGTAACCAGCAACGTCATCTCATAATCTTAACCAACAATTTTTAAATCAACATCCAAAGAATGAAAACTTTGACAATAACAATGCAAATAGTGAAACGATGCCCTATTTGGATAACTTTATTAAGCTTGATCTTTGAATTGACCTAAAATATGTGCCAGTTGGATAATGAGATGACGTTGTGTAGTGGGCTTAATCAAGTAGTTAGTATTAACATATTAATTGGTTAGTTTTTGAGCACTCCTAATATAAGGTACAATTTCTCATATGGTTTTGAATAAACAAAGGGAAAACATTTGAGAATACTGAATAGGAGTAAGAGCATGTTTACTTCTTCTTTAAAACCATCTCCAATGGTGGAATGTATTATGCCCTTAAATGACGGCGTGGGTTCGAACTCGTCGGTGACTAATCTAATATCTAACTTACTACCACTACCGCTCAACTCAAAAAAAAAAAAAAAAAAAAAAAAAAAAACCTAAAATTTTTAACTCAAAAAATTTAAGTTTTAACTCATAAACAGTTTTTTTTATTTTTTTATTTTTTTCGCTGAAATGGTTTTGGGTTAAAATTTTAGTCTGAGATTATTAAAAAATGAGTTTAGGTTAAATTTTTTTATTTGGTAACTTTTTTTCAAAATAAAATTTCTATAAATTATCATAATTTATTTTTATGAACATTTTAACATAAAAATATTTAGATTCCAAGAGAAAATTGAAAATTCACTAAAACCGACCCCATGAAACATGTATTTATAGATTTTTTGGGTAAATTTCGATTTAAATATTTTTTAATTATTTTAACCGTTGGGTTGAATTTTGGGCAGTTTGATGTTTATTTTACCGTTATATTTGATAATATTCGATCCAAGCAATTTGATTTAATGTATTTGAAAATTCAAAATTGCCCAAATTTTAGGTTTTAACCTAAAACTTAATTTAGACCCAACCATTGGAGAATGATTGTGTTAGTTTAAAACCTAAATTTTGGTGCCACTTAGTATTATGATTTAGTGATATTCCTCTTCACTTATAAATGACAGGTCTTAGGTTCGATTCTCGTCAAAGGTGAATTTGAACCACATTATTACTAGCTCATTGTGAGGCTAAGTCCACCCCCACCCCCCTTGGTGTAGATAATGTCGTTTATTTATTAAAAAAAAATAAAAAATAAAAAATAAAAAACCTAAATTTTGGTGGGCCAGTTTTTTAACTTGGCTTATATTCTGGGTTAAATTTGTCCAAATTTTAAGTTTTACCCAAAACTTATTTTAGGCCCAACCATTAGAGAATGATTATGTTAGTTTAAAACCTAAATTTTAGATTTTAACCCAAAAATTGGAGATAACCTAAAGACCATCTTATTTGAGGGGTGTGGTGCTTTTCATTTCATTATCTTTTATCTTTTTTCAATACTTTTAAAATAAAATTGATTATTAACTATATGGTCTTGTTTGTCCTTCAGCTTTACGGATCCATGTGGTACTTTTTTGCCCTGAGTCGAGAGATAGCATGTTGGGATGATTATGTCTCCCATCATGTACACTTCGGTAATGATTCCTTCTATTGTAATTATTCTGAGCGCGCCAAGGATATGTACAGACCGCGCATCAATGATGATATCAGAATGGGTGCAAATCTATCATGCGCTGTAGAACTTCCGAAAAATATGACATCGTTGCCTTTCGATTATGGTATATATCTCTCTGCTCTCCAATCTGACATGAAAACATCAGGAGATCTTCCAAGAAAGATCTTGCAATGTTTTTGGTGGGGCTTGCGAAATCTAAGGTTTGCATTTATATGATTTTTCATGTATGGTCACCTAGAAATATTTATGATGTAAACTCGTCTTTTATCTATTAACCCTCTCATCAATGTGGTCCTTGCAGTTAAATTCCATAAAAAATTTATGTCAGCTTTCTAAAAGAATGTAATCAATAATTAATATATTGCTCTCCGTTTCATTCTTTTTGCAGTTCTTTTGGTTCAAACCTTCAGACCAGTTTCTACGCGCCCGAAATTTTCTTCTCAGTTGTGATCTCTATAAGTGGCTTGGCACTATTTTTAGTGTATCTCAATTCGAGGGTGCAGGTTTGTCCCGTGATCAGTACTCTTTTCAGCAAAAATTTTGTCATTAATTAAGCTTAAAGCTCCTCCATGCAAATTTTTTGTATATTCATGCACGTACGTATAATGTTTCTGGATTTAATGAACTCGTCATGAAATCGCTTTATAGATTATTAAACATATGCAGGGGTTCCAAAAAATAGCCGAGCAACGCATATTGAGACAGAAGATGAAAACGACATATCAAGTCTTAATAGAACAAATACATATTATGCGCCGTTTCCGCATGAATTCACTAAAGAAAGTACGTATTGAGAAATTTTTTAAAGTAACAATCACTAAAGATAATATTCGTCTTGCGTAATTAATTGTTATCTTATGAAACGTTGGTACGTAGGTTCCATTTCTTGGAAGTATTGATGAACAAGTGTTGAAAGCAATATCTGAGCATCTAAAGCCTGTGATTTATGCTGAGGATGCGTATATTATTCGAGAGGGTGAACCGTTGCGGAAGATGCTGTTCATCCGGCGAGGCACTGCTTTGACCTACACAACTAGTAAAGGTGCAACAAGTGTTTGCAAATGCCTTGAGAAAAATGATTTCTATGGAGAAGAACTTGTAATTTGGGCATTCAAATTTGCCTCATTTTCTGAGTTGCCTATCAGCACTGCAACCCTTGTGTCCCAATCAAAAGTTGAAGCATTTTCAATTGCGGCAAACCACTTGAAGTCTATAGTCGCTAAGTTATGGTGGCACTTTAGAAAGGAACTTCCTCACTCTCAGGTGGAGTATTTTGCAGTTTCTTCCATACAAGCAGCCTGGCGCCGCCATGCAAAAAAAGCTAAGAGACAACTGGCTGGGAAAAATAATTAGTAGATTAATAATTACTTTTCTTGTAGAATAAGGCATGTGCATATATTGTAAATTAGTAGATTTGAGTTGGTGTGTGTGCTTTGAGTTGGTATTGCTTTTGTTTTGTGTGTGTGTTTTGAGTTGGTATTGCTTGTTGATTTGAGTGTTAATAATTACTTTACTTGTGGAATAAGGCATGTGCATATATTGTAAATTAAAAAAAATCAATAAAGTAATAAAGTACTTTTAGTGTACTTCTTAGCATCAAGAGCTTGATTCCGATCCGAATTTAAATAGTAAATCGTGTACAATTGCTGTATTTTTTGCAATCGTACTTTGGGTAAATTGCAGCATATTTGCAGTGTAGTAGGTAGGGAGGCAGATTGTGGTGCCTTTTCCATCTTCTTTTATTCTATGCAATTACAGTTAAAACACGTTAACATTTTGTATTTATTTTTTAATAAAAATAATAAAATATAAAATAATAAAAATATAAAATGTTAACATATCTTGATCCTGACAGCACAAATAGAAAAAGAAGGAAAGATCATCCAAACAACAAGGTTAGACAATATGCCCCCAGTATGTAGTGGCTGCTGTCAGGAATTGCTGTCTGCATGTCTTCTTTAGTTTGTCTGCTGATGTCGGTGCACAGTTTTCGTTTAGGTTGCTGTCCTAAGCAGGACTCGATGTACTGACTGTTTTACGTGGCCCATCTAGATAAAGACACCTGTCCATCTTTGAACTCTTTTAACAGGGCAATATTTGAGTACTGACACGGTACCCATTTTACATGCCAATCTATATGGTCCAATAAAAATATAACATATGTCATCTCCCCACTCTTTTTCTATCCTTGTAACCAAACACAACCTCACCCTTTCAAGTATTACCAAACTTAAATCTAGTTCGCCACTTCGTCTTCTTTCCGCTCGAACAAATTGTTGACGATCTCATAACTGGCCATCGCGGTCTCTTCGGCTCTGCCATTATCCTGCAAGCTCCATATTCTAGGATTCAACAACCTCGCACCCGCGACGGTCTCGACCTCACTCGCAAAGCCGGCGTCGAGTCCTTGTTCACCACCAAGCGAGAAGCCCTAACTCGTCATCCTCACCACCACAAAAGACGGTAGCATTCACTGCTGGGTGGAGTCGACGATTCGAGGAGTGATTGTGTGTGGGATCGACAGAGAAAGCTTAGTGCAACTAATAAACTCATGTTTTTTTTTCTGTCTGGAATTCCCACTTCTTGAATTTTATCATTTTGGTTTACATCTGCCATGGGAAGAAGATTATTATTTTGGTTTAGGTGGTCTGTCATGGTAGATCGGCCATGGAAAGAAAGGAACAAGAAAAAAAGATGAATGCTTGGTTATTTGAGGCTGTTTGGTTACCAAGATAGCAGGGGTGTGGGAGTGGAAATTTTTTTTATTGTGACGGAAACACGAGTGGTACACAACGTGTTTTGATGTAAGTGGTGAGAAATTTTATTTTTTAAGTTATTAATGTTTTAACATATATATATATATATATCTCAGCATATAGTGACACATGATGTACCAGCTTATGTGCTGGGTCTCTTGTGGGAGAGAATTTAAAATGACAGGTGTTGTATTCCTGTTGGACCACATAGCTTGGTGAGTAAAATGAGTACTACCCAGACAGTACCCAAAGATCCTTCTCTCTCGCCACCAAACCCACCCTTATTCTTCTAACAAGACGTCCTTCTCTCTCGCCAAAATTGTCCAGCCAGCGTCCACCCCCACCCGTCACCTGCACCGTCCACCATCTTCTCCACGGTCCACCAACCAAACATCCTTCGTTGAAATTCTTCTTAAACCCGGAATCAGACCATTCATACCAAATCGATGACAAATCCATCCTCTATCGACCACATCCGTCACCTTCTCCGGCGAGTCCACGGCCAACCCTCTCTTTGACAACGACCCCACCCTAGTCCTCTTTAACGGCTACGAGTCGGTTCTAGTATGGTTGATTAAGCAATTTATCGGTCAAATTCTGGTTTGATATGGGTGTTACAGAGGAAGGAGAAGGGAGGCGAGAAATGGGCGTGGGTTAGTTCATAGTTGGGTCGACGAGGAAGGCATAAGATATAAGGAGGTGAATGATGGGGTTGGGTCGGTGGGGTCAGCAATTGGATGATTTGGTTCTGCCATGGCAGTTTGGAAAGGGAAGAAGGAGGCGTGTGCTTGTAGATTGATAGGAAGTGTGGATGTTAGGTTAGCGAGATAGGACAGTGTTTGGTTAAAATCTCATATTATAGGTATCAAAATTTTGGGTTAAACTCTGTTTACTACTTATGTTTTATGGTTTTCAACATTTAGTACATCAAATTTTTTTCGTCCCAAAGTTATACTTAAAGTGTAAATTTTAGGATAGTTTCATATATCTGTTAGTCAAACTGTTAATTCTCCTGTTAAGTGATGACGTACTCATGTGGATAATGACTGAACGCCACGTGTCGGGTCCACGTGAAATTTTTTTTTTCCCTTTTTTTTTTTTTTTTTCTTCTTCTTTCTTTCTTCTCGATTGACGTGGAATTTTTATTTATTCTTCTTCTTTTTTTTCTTTTTCTTCTTCTTCTTTCTTCGAATCTATGATTTGGGGATAAATCTAGGGTTTCAGTTTTCCTCCCCATTTTCGTTCTTCCACAACTAAAATCATCACAAAACAACCACCAAAGAACAAATCTTTACACTAAACCCCATGTGATTAGCACAACCCAGTAATCAAAATCATCTAAAAAACACAAAAACCAACAAAAGGGCAGCTAAATTTCACAATTTTGGAACTGGCTTTCTTCAAGATTCAGCAGGAAGTACAAAAAAAAAAAAAAACTGATCTGGGTATTGAGAAAGTGAGTGAAAGAAAGAGATTTTCCCGAGAAAGTGATAGATTTGTTCTAAAGAAAAAAAAGTGAGACTGGAAAAATGAAAATGGACGAGATATGAATTTGATGGACGAGATCTGGAAGCGAGCCGTTGAGACAGCGCTAGAGGGCCAGACTGACCTGGCCGCGGCTCGAGCCCTAACCCTTGACGGCGCCCAGAACCACGCACAGCCCCGACGCCACCGCCATGATCCGACGGAAAACCGAGTCGCACTTGGCCTGCCGATTCGACATCTGCACCGACGCCGCACCGCACGACTGCAGGTAGAAGAGGGCCGCGGCCAGCCCCAACACCAGATCCGAGGGCAGTGGACGAACCGATGGGGGAAGAGGATGAGGGTTCAGTGGGTGGAGTCGAAGAGGGAGGGGAAGGATAGATGTGCAGAGGAGAAAAAAATTCCACGTCAACCGAGAAGAAAGAAAGAAGAAGAAAGAAAAAAAGGGAAAAAAATTCCACGTGGACCGCTTAATGAGACGTGGCGTCCAATCATTGTATACATAAGCACCATATTATCACTTAACGGGAGAATTAACAGTTTGACTAACGGATATATGAGATTGTCTTAAAATTTACACTTTAAATATGACTAGGACAAAAACAACTTGATATGCTAAATGTTGAAAACCACGAAAGATGAGAATAGTAACCAGAATTTAACCCTAAAATTTTAGTGAGCCACCCAAAATGGTCAGCAACTTAGGTGCTCCCAGTGAGTACTTAAACATTATCTGTGTTCTGCAGCCTTGGAAAGGGAATTTTTTGTCTTGCTGTCGGTGAAAATTTGCCCAATTTTGTAGTCCACCGTTTTCTGTCTGGGCTGTTGCGGCGTGACACTTGGCTGTACAGACAGCCCTTTATTATTGTCATGTCTGCTGCCTGAATTGCCGCCGCCGCCGCCGCCTTGGATTGCGTGTGTTTCTCTTTTTGTTTCTTTGCCGTGTGGTTTTGCTGCTGTGCAGTTGAGAGGTCTGGCAATTTCTGACACGACCCGATAATCCGACACGACACGACATGATACGACACGAAATTAACAGGTGTTTGGATCGACACGATAATGAATCGGGTCGTTATCGGGTAACCCGATAAGCACATGTTAAGATAACGGGTTGGTTCGGGTATACACGTGAGTAACACGATACACGATAAGCAGAATATTATTTTTATAATTTTATAACCCTAAAAAAATACTATAATAATTATATACATTAATTTTACAATTTTATACCCCTAAAAATTATAATAAATATATATATATATTAAATTAACTATAAAATTTATAATAATTATAATAATTATATATACTATAATAATTATACCCCAAAATATTAAGTCTATCTATAATAATTATATATATATATATATTAAATTTTATAAAAACTATAATAATTATTAATTAATAATTTAATATGCATGATGCATTGCATGATTTTGCATCCATTGAAATTTGATGTGATTTCTTTCCATTCAAATTTCAATAATCAATTTCTTGCCGTTGCCAACTTGCCGCCCTTTTTGAAAAAAAAAATGGAGGGAAAATGAAAATGTTAAGAAAAGTTGAAAATGAAACAAAAAAGGAGGGAATTAGGGAAAGATGTTGGAGGGAAAAGTGAAAATGATAAGAAAAAGTTGAAAAGGAAACAAAAAAGAGAGGGAAAAATGAAAATTAATAGAAGTGGTGAGAAATTTTTTTTTTTTTTAAGTTATTAACTTTTTATCACACACATGACTGTCATGACATATCTCACTATTTTTATAATGACACACGTGACACGTGATGTATGTACTATTCCGTGTACCAGTCAATTATAATTTATACGTACAAAATAAATAGATTTAAATATACTTAATAAAAATATATATATATACACACACACACACACACGAAACTTGATTGATGGCATACGAATTCTCCAAAACTAATTTCAACGATCCAAACCGTCAAAATTGTTTGTATATGCTTGGAGATCACATCAGCAAAAAATCACAAAAAAAAACATTCAGAGATCAAGTAACGGGACAAAGCTTTTCAACGGTTATAAACGAAAAATCATGATTTAACGGTTATTTTAACTCCGATTTTGATGATTTTTTATAACTACACTC